TACGTGAAAACGCTTTAGCGAGGGACCAGAATGTTCGGTTCCCGGTGGCGGAAGAAGCCAGGCGTGCAGCTTTGTGACAAATGAAGCGTTCTTTAGCTCTCTGAATAGTGACCTAGCATTTGGTTCTGGCTTGCACGAAGCGGTCGCGGGATGCTGGATTGCGTGAGTGACGCCGACGACGGAATGCTGAGTTTTTAAAGCCTACAGCAGGGTTGCAAGCATGATTAAACCACTGAGGAGACTGTGGTTTGGCGAGTTTGGAGAAGTGTGAAATATAAAGAAACATGCCTTGAAGAACAATTTCCGTGAAGTTTGAAACAGACTTGGAAACATCCGATTAAAAACAACAATCCTCCCAGGGCTAACAAGCCAGAAAGTCACGAAAGCCGTCCCAGTTGGCTGAATCGTAAAGCCAAAAGGCGAGTCTGGAATTTGGTGGTGAAATGGAGTGAGAGAAATGAGACAATGGTCCGATGAGTATCATGGGGAAAAGAAAGTGATGTTGAAGAAAGATGTGAGAATGAAGTCAAGGGTGTTGGCGCGGTCACCAATACGATCAGGGATGCGTTTGAGGAGGTCAACTAGTTGACTTAGGTTGTTGACCACAAAAAAGGCCTCGGCTTCGTGTCCCATGAAGATAGTGTCTGAGGAGTGCTTCAGTCATTCCTAGTTGTGAACACAATGTGTGCACAATGTATACCGACAATGGTGATTTGGCTGTCAGAATCTGCCGACATTAGTGTCTCAATGTTGTAAGACAAACTATCAAAAATGGAAAAGTTGCTGCTGCTCGGGGAGCAGTAAACAGTACAAAAATAGTGGTTGAAAGAAGGGAACCGAAGTTTCGGCCACTTAAGCTGAAACTAGAGAAGTCCAAGTATGAAAGTCGGGAAGAAGCAACAGAATGATGGATATAGGCGCAGACACCAGCTTCAGAAAGAAAAGAAGAATGAAGGGAGTAATTAGGGAACTGAAGATGAGTGGTGTCTGACGAAGGGGAGATTTGTGTCTCCGTCAAAAATAAAGTCAAGGGGGAAGAAGATTGTAGAACGTGGTGTACTGAACTAACGTTTCGATTTAAACTACGAATGTTAGTGAGGGCTATGGCGTGTTGTAAGTTCGTAGGTAGAGTGCGCATTATGTGATTTCTGTGAGTTGTTTTGTTCATTTGTGATATGAGAGAAGACCGGCAACCCAACCCTGAGACTTGGAGCGGTAAACCAAATAAGGCCTCAATAGGTTGAGCGTGATAGTGAGCCAGGTGACAGTAGGGCTGTCTATAGGATCGCCTCCATGAGAACTGCACTCAAGAAAGCAACTACTAAATTGCATTCAGCTCATTGAATTCGTTGAAAGGGTTCTTTTAAATAAAATTTCCTCCCAAATAGTTAACCTATCGGACTCCATGACTTTATTCTAATTTCTCATTCGATTCTCTATGCTCTCGATTGCAAAATCAAGGCTTCTTGAATATACACAAACATTCTAAACAGCGTCAACAGACAAATCACTCACCATCCTAGACCATGGTTCAGTTTAATTAGGCGACGTTTTCAGCCAACAACAACGACGAGATACTTGTCTGTAGTACCTGTTCGCATGTTAAAATTCCCACGTATTCTTCATTCGCATAGAAGTGAGCATTGCCAGGATGAACGGAAACCAGAAAAAAAGTGCGTGATAGAAATTCAAAACCCAATGAGTAATGCAGCTACAGGGCAGCGTAGCGCGCGAGACCTTTTTCTAATCTCCGAAACAAACATGCAGAAAAACAAAACGGATCCATGTGAACACACATCGCACTCTGAGCCAATTTTCAGACCTGTTGAATCCCTCGCTACATCATCCTGTGGCGTGAATAGCACCTGTATGATTGATTTAGACATTAGTGTGTTACCAAACAGTAGTCGGTACAATTGTGACGCTTGGTTTCTGATAACGCGCGTAAACCAATGAATGCCCATGAAAGAATACTCGGGCTGGTAATTCAGGGATTAGGCGCGGGATACTAAGCGGAAAGCGAGCACTGAAAACAACGGATTAGGAGGGGGTAATTGCACGGTGTTCACAGGAGTGAACGTAAGAACAGTGAAAGGGCCTAAATAATGATGCTCAGAGACGCTTCGGCAACTGATTCAATCGACGGGGGATCACCTCGTACATTCGTAGTGGCGCTCACAGAGCATGAGTAACCAAGGATAAAAACCGTAAGTGACACGGAATGCCAATGCCTGTGCCTTGTATTACGTTATATCATTACCTCCCTACGCTATACTGGGCTAAAATGATAGTTTTTAGGAAGCAACCGAACACGTAAGGGTTGGAAACGTCTAACGAGTGGACGAAATGAATTCGCCCCGCTAGATACAAACGTGACACACCGACAGAGGAAAAGCAACCCAGATGTATGAGCAACTATTATCTATTGCCAATTTGTGATCATGTGATTTGTTCGACTGATAACGGATCACGCTAAACCAGCAACTTCCTTCACAAGGTAGTCAGATCTGATAAAATCGCTTTCGGAATCCATGCATAATGAGCAATATATATATATATATAACACCGGCTTGCGGACAAGCATGGTGCCACCGCCTAAAAAATAATAACGATAACAATACAGGGAAGGAGGTTGGGATACAGAACCTAGGAAAAAGATGGAACTGTTAAAATGGGAAAGCGCAAACAAATGGGATGAGCAAAGAGACGACAAGAAAGACTGCGGCAGAATTGGGCTCCCTTTGTGATAAAAAGGGACCTATATGCACCAAAAATGTCTGATCGTATACCAAATCGGCATTTTATCTTGTGATCTATATACGACACTAGAGATAAAAGTGAGCTCGACAATGTAATCAGACTATTTAAGTAAAGAGACAAAGATGAACAGCGAAAAAAATGCGATACACAGGTAGGACAAAACAAGGCACACCGCATTAAGCATAGTGATACGGAATGGACTCACTTGGCATTTGGACAGTGGGCCACCAAGAAGAAGGAGATCTCGCAAAGTTGCGATGGTCGAATCGGCAATCGTGGGGCGCTGATTAATGAATGGCAAGGGAGCAGATATGAAAATAGGGAAACACGGGATAAACCGTTTTTAGCCACAAAGCCCTCAGACTTTCTGAATTCAGGGAAACATGCATCAATACTTACGCACCAACGCCATCCACCGGTTTTCAGATATCAAATGTATACGTCATAGCCTATTGATTTACTCTAGTTGGCAATTATTTAACCATAATTATAAGGTTGTTTCATTGTGCATCCAAATTTACATCGAAATGCTGTCATCTACTACGATATCGTGGTTCTACATGTCCCAAATTTACAATAAGCATTTATACCTTTTGCTTATAAAAAGAAACGCGTTCAAACCGATTGCAAATCAGTATGGTTAGACATTAAGGAAATGAGAAGTAACGATTACAACTTACAAGTCTACTGGGAACTGAAGCAACGGGGACCTATGAAACACTTTTGGGCTCATATAGGCAACAGCAATTATATTGAAGTATTTTTTTTTCAAATAATAATAAACAAGCCTTGATGAGTCATTATAACCGTGATTCGTTTATACGTAGCAGATTGAATGGATCAAAATGTACCGGACATTCCCATTTCATCAGTAGTGGTTGACCCAGACCATGATGAGTTAAGAGCTAACTAAAAAGAATAAAACAATTTTTATTTACACCAAATCAACATTAATAATAATAAGGACGTGAAATTGGTGTACACTAATAGTCAATTGGTCTGACTTTGATCTTTAGGACTTTTTACAGTCTCTTCGGCATTGAATTCACCAACTGTGTCCTCCATTACGCATTGCACTTTGCTCCCAATGTCCAATGTACAGTTAGAACATTGACCTCTCTCTTCACAACAGAAAACAGATTTCCAATCACATTGAGATCTGAGACTGCACCCTGACGTGGTGTGATGGCTTGCGTGCATCCGTGACACTGCGACCTACACAGGATGGCTTTTCACAGCCGTAGATCCAATCACGAGTAGAGGCTACACGAAGCTCAGTCTCACAAGGCCAGCTGTTTGGGCACCTCCTGGCTTCCTTCTTCTATCCACACCCGCCCCTGGAGAGGCCACTCTAGCAAATAAGCACGGTGAGAGGCAGTCTACGGGTCAAAAAAACCCCGCTAGATGGACGTAGGAGCGGGGTACCTGGGGTTCCTCTTGACGGTGGGAGAAGTCTTCGCGCTTCATTGGACAGCCACCGCCCGCCCAAGCTGGGCAGNCATTCCGCTTGTCTCAGTGGGTGCATGGGGCTAAGGGCTGATTCCGAAGAACGGACCGACAATCAACGCACAAGCGAACAACACAATTAATCGAATTTCAAAGGCCTTGTGTGACAGGTCTCCAGAAGCTCCGTCACGGGTGCTCTGCTCATGCTCCCGCGTTGGATTTACGACTCACTGCCTTGTGGGTCAGACTTTTGAATCGAAAGCTCCGGTTAGGGTTCCCAAAGTAAAACACCTTCTTCGGTGTGGGCAACCGCAAATTATGCCTTGCCCTAAAGTCTTAGGTACCCATTTGGCAAAACCTCTATCTATTAGGGGGAAGTTGCATGAACTGGACCTTAGAATCACGCATCTTTCCTGAAGTATGAAAGCAAATAACAAGTGAATCAGTCTCCTTAACCAAACAAATTTACTAACCTTTCCTGAAACATGACACTAAGAGTTATCCTGAAAAACTATAACTTTTCCAGACGATTTTACTTCATGAAATTCTGGGAACATTTTCCTCATCAGTGATACCGATTTCCCACTATTCATGCTACCTTCGACTGATGTCCACCATGTTTTATCCCTGCCGAGATGAGTAATCTGGTCGGGTTAGAAACTCTTTCATTGGGTGGATTAAGTCCTTTAGGGAAATTCTCATCACAAATGAATTTTTTGTGAGCCTTGCAAGGCATTTTAGATTTTTTATTCTTCTTCGCAGAAGGGAGTGTCAATGGTGGGGAAGATCTTCCTGTTGGATGGACGATGACGATTTTCTGCAATGTTTTTCTCAGCGTAATACGAATTACGTCGTACTCCTGTTTGAATGTACTCGGTTCACGGCCTCCACAAGCTTTTAGGCTTGTTGTTCTTCCATGGACTATCCTGTAAATCGTGCTGTTGTTAACGTTAAATCAGTGAGCAAGATTAGATATGGAAAATCCCAGTTTGTGTTCTCGTGCAATTCTATTCTTCACTGAGATAATGAAAGTTTTGGTTTCGAGCGCTGATTGCTTCATTATGGTGACAACAATACGAACATTCAAAGCTGTGCAAAAATGGTCTTGATTTCAAAGTTGACTTTGATGAAAATGGCATTTCTCGAATTCAGTGAGTTAGCCATCAAACATAGATTATTATGATGTTCAGTTGTTCGCCGAGCTCGGCGAACAACTGAACACCATAATATACCACCCGTGCTACAAAAACAACAATCAACACCGTTGTTTACAAAACTGTCATAGATTATTATTTTGAAACCTTATTCAATACGATTACTCCGGGTTGTGAAAGAATTTCATTTGGTTATTCAATGGAGTTGCTAAAATGGATTACATATTAGATAAAATAATGCCTCATGACAACTAACCGGGATGGCAAGGGTTTATGGAAATAATTTGGGATAATTCTTGAATCACTCCTAATAGAATATATTGCGTTTCCATACTTGATAAATTTTACGATTTTCATTTTGAGATTATTTGATCTTAGCAACCAAGATCAGGCACGTTTGATTGACAATCATGTAACTGAGAAACTACGTAGATCGGAGTAGACAAGAGATAATTTATTGTCCATACCTAAAGCAATAATGTAGGCGATAAATATAACGAAACTCAATTTGATCAAGAAGAAAATATTTTAGGATATCACAATCGGCCAATATTGTAGTGTTTTATCCCACTAGTTCCATAATGTCTGCTATTGGTAGTGAATAAGAAGAACGAGAAATCGGTCGATCGCCCGACATGGTCAATTATCACACGTGTGGAACAGTTTTTTTGAGCGTATCGGGTTAAACCGAACCACCAGATCAATGGAATATATTTGTGATGAAATGTAGTGTGAGATTCGTTCACAGATGTTAATGTTCTTGAACTCGAGTGAGTACTGCAAGAACATTTTCAATCAAATTTACACCGTTCAGTTAAGAAAAATATGTAAAAAAATAAATAGTTAACTCCCACTCTTAATTAGACAATGAACTTCCCCCTTCCTGAAAATTGTATCTTTGTATATTCAATAAAAGGAAGTAAAATGAAAAAGAAAAGAACTGTATGATCCAGTCAATTAGTTTACGTGAAGATTAGGCATTAATCTGGCCGTACCGACATCGGTGTTGGTAGCCTTGGTAATTGATGAGAAGAAAAATCGATGCTACAATGAAGAAAATCCGACGAGCTCCAAGATAACACTAGGCGTCCCAGAGTGGTCAGCTAGATAGAATTTCTGTAGAACATAGACTGAGTTGAAGGAAACGGATTGATGAGTGACGATTGCATGTTTGAATCTGAAGCGATAATAAGTATAGCAAATTTGTTCGAACTCGTACAACTCTACATGCATACATTGTTTTTTTTTCAGCTCCAAGCACAGATATATATCCATAAATTTTGATCAATTCAACCATAAGAGAAGCACGTATGATTCCTCGCCAACAAGAACCCATCCGATGGGATTATTACACATTCATTACAATATATAACGGATTTTGATTTCATCACACCTGGTATTTAACTTCGCAAACCTCAGATGGTGTTGAGCAAAATATGGCCCAGCCACAACAAGTGAGGCTAGTGTATCACCGTGATTATCAACTACTATTGGCATGACCTTTTCCATCACTTGTTCGACCGGATTCAGTGCAAGTAATGTAGACAGTAATGGTCGAACAGCAATAATTGACATTTAGCATGCCCCGTAGAGACTACAACTTGGTGCCTACTCTGTATCATATTCTCGTGGGTCAAACAATAACCAACGCGAGAAAACCTAAACGAATCTAATGCTTTCAATCTCGACAAAACGCACCCCATTGTTGCGTGGTCCTTTCCGATAAGTTTCCGACTTCATTTCTATACTTGAAGGTTTTTATGTTGAAATTTTACCAATCTGTATTTCAATCAATTCCGCACAAAGGGCGTGGGGCTGTCCACTACGTTCTTCAGCAAATTTCGATATTTCATGTGTTAGTGCACATCACTTCACCTTTTGCGATAAGGAAGAATTTTTGGCTGAAATGCACTGATTTGTTCACACCATAGATGCGGATCCGATTTTTTGATAGTATTATGCTCTCGATGTTATCGAACCAGATGCTTTACGAAGCACATGTACTTATGAAATATGTTAAATTGGTGGATCTAATTCGAATTGAAAAATTACTTAATTTTGTGACTCTCATTGGAATACCCAATGCCAAGATTAAAAGAACAGTTCATTTTCGGTTGTAGGGAACAACCATTCGAAACAGGTGGCCCCATACATGAAAGCACAACTGGTCAGAAATTACAACACAGGCACTTTTGGAATTGACGACTGTGTTCAACGCACGCTGAAGCGCCATCAAAATCTGGGTTGTAGGTGTACACANGACACATAGCAGACTGCAACCGAGCGTATCGTCAACTGAAACGTATGTTATTTCAAAAAAATTATCCAATCCCGTGCATAAAACAACGCACTTATATCAGCTATCTTAGTATTACACACCTTGTTTTTTGTCAGCAATGTATGAGACGGATAGTAGTAACTAGAAGCAGCTGTGAGCATACATTTATGATCATATCGTCCTATTTAGGACTCAGGAGTAAGGGTTTGAAGTTCCGACCCAAATGTTTGCAGTTCGAGACAGGGACACAAAAAGTACGCACTGCTGATGAGTCCCAAACAGGTAGAAACAACTGTCCTACGCTCTTTGTCGATCATCACAAAAATTTTCATCGCATTTGAATGCATTTACCTCGTGAGAACTTAACGATATCCCAGCGGGTGAGACCCACACCCAAGACCATTAAGAGTGTCTCTGAACAATCAAATGGGCTAGTCCAATTTTGATACTCAAAAAATGATCAATATATTTGTTAAAAGGAGATCCGACAGATTTTAAGAACAATGCTCGGTTTTTCCTACAGAAACAGATTCGTATATCGGGTTTTTCTCAGAGACACGTTGGAAAAAAAACGATAAACACATATACAATAACTGAAACAAGAATAAAGAAAACGGCACATACTGAGCTGTTCTCCATTCGAGTCTTTGAAAAGTAGACCATCCACAAGGGTTCTTTCGGCCAGACCATCGCATTGACGGACTTCGAGTGAATTTCAGATACTCCTTCTGAAGGACGACCTAAGTACTTTGGACGACGAACCACACCGTTACTGAAATGGGGATAGATTCATGAGGAGAAATTATTCCTATGTTGAACCAATCGGCATGATAACAGTATCAGATACAGAAGCTGGGAGAGGGTTACCGATAAGAAAAAACTACCTGGTGAAAATCGCACCGGTTGCCGCTTCACACTAGCAGTATGTGATGTGAAAGCTACTATGCGTACAGCACAACAGACGTGCTAAGCTCATTCGCTCAAAACCTTACCCCCCAATCTAAACAATCATTTCGCTAAATTTTCTTTCTGGACATGCGGAAGCTGCGACTTTCAATCTTCCTAGCGTTGCCGTGGAAGTCAGTGCAAGAGCTNTATTAGCCAACGATCGGTTATGCCCGGTGAAGCTTATTTTTTGTAGGTTGTATAATACTTGTGCAGAGTAGTAGCGTGAGCAGAAGGTTGAGATCGTTGCCGGTAATCGATGGATTGATCGAAGCCTCATCATTCGAAAGTTGGTAGAGCACCACCACACTTGCCAGAGAGAGCACTTGTACTATCGAACAGCGACATCCACTAGTGCATAAGGTTACATTTCNCTGTTCTCACACCCAATGTTCTATGCCACAAAGTCCTGAGTATACCAGCGTGCAATTCACGGCATTCTTCTCGTCCAAGTGGTTTTGACGGGACCCCTTACACCTTTCAGTTCTTGCCTCGGGACTTGTTTCAAAAAGTATGCTAAATAAACTGATATTAGCTTGTTTTTATTTTCCCAAATATAAAATTACACGCATAGTGGGATAAGCGTCAGATCAGAATAGAGCTCCATATGCTATCGGCTAGAAACAGCTTATTGAAGAGCGATTTGTCGAATTGGAATCTCGATTAAACTGCTCCATTTCCTGATTTTCTCATTTAGATTCACATATCCTAGATTGGTAGTGTTCAAACTTATTTGACTCCAAAGCCAGCGGTAGCACTGATTGGTTCAAGATTTTCGGTGTGTCAAGAAGAGGTTCTTCCTGAAGTCTATTATCGTTTATTATCAGTGGCGCAGTGGTTTAGTAGCTGTCACCGGCGTGCTTTAGACCCCATGGTCCGAGGTTCGAACCCCGCCACTGCCACCCGAATTTGGTGGTAGGCAGCTCTGCTGTCGTCCGGTTCAATACCACACCCAACCTATCGGGNCCCGGGGCTTAGGTTACCGGTTTCCATCACTGAACAGCAGATCCTCGTGATTATGGGGTTCCACCCCGTCTGCTGTTCATCACACGAAAGTGTGTAATAAAAAAAAATTAAATCCCAAATCCGAAAACTTATCATCCTCATGACAACACCTTGGAGTATTCGGAACTAAGTTTACGTCAATCTTCAGAGATCCAACGTAGCTTGTTTAACAGAAAAACTAGTGTTTTGTTCAAGCTACAGAAATCAAAAAGATGGTGGGACAATTCCGCAAAGTGTAAAACATCACAATGAAAGGGCATAATGTTTTTAGTGAACGAATTAGTTTTATTCAGCCTACACTGCACAAACGATCTTTGTGACCGTTGAATGGCCAGCATACTATATCCTCCGTGTGGGGCAATCTGTGAAGA